CCAAGGTTTCACCACAGGGTGTGCTGCTCAGCACAGTATTGTGGGACAAAATAAGATGTGTAACAAGCAATGTCTCCACCAGTCCTTTTTTACGCTGCAATTGCACAGCAAAACAGCTTTACCTTTCAGAGGAACATGTGTTTGGGAGAAGTTACTTTATAATGCTGTTAGTAAGAGAACTTAGACTTGTTGACCTTTTGCTTCTACGCTTTGCTGCTCTGGTGGCATTCTGGGGGCAGGGAGGGGCTAAGCTCTGAGTAGTTGTTGGTCACGTGGAGATTCATGCAAGCGTGGTCAAACCTGCCTTCACACCATATTAATGCAAAAAGGAATCCTTTAGTTCTTCACATTACTTTTTTTTTTTTTCCAGCTGAAGAAAAAAAAAAATATCGGTCATTGTTCATAATTTTATTCCTAGTCCAGGTGAAGTTTCAAGCCTGTGAGCGTAACTCTAAAATGTCTCCTTTCTTTTAACATAAGGATATGACAGGATTTATGCAATAAATGGGAAAGAAAATATTATATCTAGACTCTTCTGATTGGAAGTCACAGTCAAGTTTTTAAACTTCAACTGACTAAACTGTTCACGAGTCTGACATGGATTCATGTTGACATTCATGCAAATAGACAATCTGAGAATTCAGGTATTGCTCTGATTTTGATGCCTGATTGAAGCAGCAAAAAAAGCGTCTCCTGTTTAATTTCTAATGCTTGTACACACAAAGGTCCAACGCGCCTCAGGAGCATCTTTTACACTCCTGAAGCACATTCAGTAAAGTGTGTCCAGATGCGCCTGATGCTCCTGTGTCCAATGGCAGAGGGCGGCTTTGCTATATTTGCTGTAATCAGTGTGTAAAAAGTCGTTTTAATATGTTTTTAAGTGAGAATGTCCACCTTAAAGCATCATCTGTGCCATCAGTACATCAAGATTATGATTCTGGCTTAAAATATTATTTCGCTGTCGGACCAGCACAAAACCCCCGTAGACTGGCTGTGCGCTGTCACTGGAAATCCACAGCAGCAGCTGCCTCTGGCCCAGCAACTTTTGGGTTTTCCACTGCTGTTCGTGGCAGCTGGAAGTGGATGTTAGCAGTTTTTAATGTAGATAATGCAAAACACACATGCCAGAATGTCAAATGCGAACATATTTTACCAGCAGGTTTCAACATTTTAATTTAACACAGGCGTTAATAAACTGTTTCATAGGAAAAATCATAGCAATCAGCAGTGCTGTTTCGGTCTCCCTGTCAGCTCCAAGATCAGCTTATCTGATTGGTTGATGTGGCATATGAGCAGCAAAAGTTAAATTTTTCCAACACCAGCAGCTGCTGCTTGTGAAGACCGTCACGCACCTGAGATGCTTAGAAACTCTAGATGTGTTGCTCCCGCTGCTCAAAACGCACTGCAGAACCTTTTGCTGTGCCTTGATGTGCGTCAACCATTGACCATGCATTTAAACCAGCTGCTTCAATGGCGTGCAGTCTGAACGTAGCATTAGGTGCACAGACCTTCAGCAGTGCGTATGTTCCTTATTGTGGCAACCTGAACCCTGATAGCCGCTGCCACAATGTCTTCTGTAGGGTGTTTTTGACCACTTCCATTCCTATGAGTCAATAATGCCTTTCTCCCTTATCTGGATGGTATATCTTTTCTAAACTTTGAACTTTAAAACCTACCTTAAACTAGAGAAGCTTTCAGTTTCATCTCCTGGAGAATTTAATTTTTTATTTTTTTATTTCTTTAAGTTGGGCATTAATCTTAGTTTTACTATTCTTTTAAATAACATATATTTCTACTATGCAGGGAAACATGATTAACAGAATTGGTCTTTGAGGTGTTCTATAGTGCCTTGAAAAAGTATTCGACCCCATTTAAACTTTCGACCATTTCGACCACATTTCAGGCTTCAAACATAAAGATATTAAATGTCTTTTTTTTGTAAAGAATCCACAACAAGTAGGACACAATCATAAAGTGGAACAAGATTTATTGGATATTTAAAACCCTTTTTAACAAACAAAAGACTGAGAAACTGGGTGTGCAAAATTATTCAGCCCCCTTGAATTAATATTTTGTTGCATCAGTTGCAACAGCTGCACTATGTCTCGGTGAGGTTGGATGGAGAGCAATTATGAACTGCAGTTTTTAGTTCTTTCCACAGATTCTCATTTGGATCCAGGTCTAGACTTTGACTTGGCCATTCTAACACCTGGATATAATTATTTCTGAACCATTACGTTGTAGATTTTGCTTTAGGCTTTGGATCATTGTCTTGTTGCAAGCTAAATCTCCATCCCAGTCTTGGGTCTTTTGCTGACTTGTTTTCTTCCGGAATGGTCCTGAATTTGGCTCCATCCATCTTCCCATCAATTTTAACCATCTTCCCTGTCCCTGCTGAAAAAAAGCAGGCCCAAACCATGATGCTGCCACCAACATGTTTGACAGTGGGTGTGCTGTGCTGCTTTTACACCAAACAATCTTTTGCATTGTTGCCAAAAAGGTAGATTTTGGCTTCATCTGCACCGAGCACCTTCTTCCACATGTCTGCTGTGTCTCCCAGTTAAACAAAACTTTCTATGGATATCTTTAAGAAATGGCTTTCTTCTATAAAGGCCAGATTTGTGCAGTATACGACTGATTTCATCCAGACTGATCATGGGCCTCTTGGCTGCATCTCTGATCAGTCTTCTCCTTGTTTTAGCTGAAAGTTAAGAGGGACAGCCGAGTCTTTGTAGATTCACACTTGTCTGATAATCCTTCCATTTCAATATTATCCCTTGCAAATTGCTCTGTTAGATGTCTAATGCTTGGGAAATCTTTTTGTATGCAAATCTGGCTTTAAACTTCTCCACAACAGTATCTCGGACCTGATGGTCTCTGCTCTTTAAACAGACCTCTGAGACGATCACAGAGCAGGTGCATTTATATGGAGACTTGATTACACACAGCTGGATTCTATTTATCATTATAAGTTATTTAGGTCAACATTTTATTATTCAAAGATCCTCACTGAACTTCTGGAAAGAGTTTGCTGCTCTGAAAGTAAAGGGGCGGAATAATTTTACTCACCCCACAGTTAGTTTTTTTTTCAAATATCCAATGAATTTTGTTCTAGTTCATGATTGTGTTGACCTTGCTCTGCAAGCTGGATTGTTGCGAGATCTAAGTTTTCAGTCTCACAACAAATCCATCTTGAAAGACTCCCGCTAACACGTCCGTCTCGTGACAACCAGGAAGTCGGACGAATGACATGCCAGCGGTGTTTTTTTGGGGCGGAAAATGTGGGAATGACTGGGAATGTCAGAAGGGCCTCGCCAGGGCATTAAAAACATGGCTTTGCTGGAGGACTCACCTGTCAATACTAAATTTGACTTGGTTTTAATAGACCTCAGAATTTTAGATGGAGTAAACTCTATCCTCCGTTTACCAGAAGATGATGCTTCACCTGTAATCTTCTTTTCAGGCTCTTTCTATTTCTTTAAAATGGGAAAGTCTGCCTCATTCTCTCCAACTGTCAAAAACATGACTTGCATATTTACAACGATTTTGATTCATCCTCTGACAAGTTGCATCCCTAGTCCAATTGTCCTTGCAAAGTTTTTTTCATTTGAGGGTTGATGAAGTTCAAAAATCAACTTTGTGTTGCTTAATATGTTTTTTATGAACAGGGTTTATCTTCCAAATTCTACATAAATCATTGCAGGATGACATGACTCCTCCATAAATAATGGTCTACATTTCAGTAAACACGTCCCACCGGTCATTCCTGTCACACGTCTGAAACATCACGATTTACTGCCACGATTGGCTGAAAACGTATTATGGAAGGCGGATACTAGGTGGCACGTCACCCAATCAGCTCAAAGTATTGTACTAAATGTCCCTCCTTTTCACGGACAGACTGATGACGTAGAACTTAAATTCCGTTCTTTACATATAAATCTGGCTGCAGGTTATGATTGTGCCCCACTTGTTGTTAATTCTTCATCTAAAATTACAATTTATATCTTTGTTTGAAGCCCGAAATGTGCAAAAGGTTGAAAGGTTCAAGGGGGCCGAATACTTTCGTAAGGCACTGCATCTTTAGCTCACCTACAGCAGTAAAAGCTTGGTCTGTTCAGCTGTCAGCCGTTCCTCAGACCACAACTGATTTACAAATGCAAGCTCTTTTTTTTCTATTCAGCAGGTTTAATAATTCAGAGACTGCTGTAGTTGTCAAACACAGTGTGGTGTTTGATACAAATCTGATTGTTGTGATATTTTCCAACCAGAGTACCTGCAGTGGTAGCTGCTCTTTCAGGCAACATGTCTCAGACTTCGCATAAAGTGTGTAAAGTATTTTAAATGGCTTAGTTTCATTTTTTCCTTCTAGATTAGAAAATTTAAAAAGCTCTGTTCCCAATTGTGTTTTAAAAAATGAAAATATCCAAAGAAACACGAGGTTGATTAATATATAAAAATAAAAAAAGTGCTGCTGAGCAGTATGTGGGGTTTCTACCAGCGTGTCAAGGCAGATGAGTGTTTGCTTACATTTAGCTCTTTGTAAAACAATGCTTTCAGAACAACACTTTCAAGAATTCTAATTAAGGCTTATGGGAAGAGACAACCACCCACTCCAAAAATCCTTTTGGGCATATAGTAGTCTAATTATTGAATATCAGCTAAATGAGCAAATTCAGATTCAATGTTCTCACGGTAAAACATTGCACAATTAAAACGGAGGGTCATGACTGAGATGTAGAAAAAAAATGAATAAATAATAAATATGCTGAAGTAAATAGACTGGGAGAGGCTGTAATTAAATTTCCATATCAAAAGCATAATATGTTAAGTAATATGAGCTCTGCTGAGGGATTTTCTTTGATGTGGACATTTTGCGCCTGAATTCTCCAAAGCAGTGGTTTGAACACACACATTTCCTCCTGAAAATCTTTTCGTCTTTGCATCTCACTAAAAAGCCTTGTCCGATCACTATATTGACTCTTGTTTTCTCTCCCCAGGAGTACCAGATCGATATAATCTTTGCACAGTCTTGGGTCGACACCCGTCTGCAGTATAACAGCAGCAGCATGCGGATTCTGACCCTCAATAGGTATTGTTTGTTGCAAATACACTTTATTTGTAATCTGAAGATTAGAGATTAAGCTTTAAAAGGGATATATAAGACTCCTTATGTTTAAAAGTTAGTCCTTCTGCTTCAATACCTTTTGAAATTTTTCATACAGAGAATATCTTTTGAGACAAATATTTTCCTCTCTTTTTCACAGATCAGTAATCAAATGAATAAATTGATTGTGCATCATTTTCCCATTTAATGATCCTCCTATTGAGAAGACTTATTCATTTTACAGAGGTCTCAAAGAAGCCTCCTCCAGTGATTTCTCACCTTGTTTCCTTTCTCTCCGTCTCCTTTGCAACCAGCAATATGGTCGGCCTGATCTGGCTGCCTGACACCATCTTTAGGAACTCCAAGAACGCCGACTCGCACTGGATAACGACTCCAAATCAGCTACTTCGCATCTGGAACAATGGAAAGATACTTTACACACTGAGGTAAAAACCTTCAAAAATATGCTTTGAAATGAAGTCGATAAAACCAGGAGTATGTGACACAAAAGTCTGAGAGTAAAAGGTAGCATAGTTGCTAGAAATCCACTCATCATTTGTCCTTCAGCAGGAGCTGAGGAAAGTGTCTACAGTAAGCCTGTTTTTATCTGAACCACTTTGAAAGTGCTGCATATAAAGAGACAAAAATACATGCAAGGAGTGACAATCAATGTTTTATTATATAACTTAAATGTCTGAGTTATTAGCAAAATGTTCTCTTATCAAACAGGTTTTATCAGACAGATTTTGAAGGTAAAACCGTTGTTGTTCAAATTGTTACGTCTTGATTTTTTTTTAGAAAGTAACATATGTCCATAAATGCTATTGGGGGGGGAAATAGACATGCCAGAGATGCTAACATGAGCAAATATGATCAATGTGTGTCTAATATTGAATGATTGATTTTATTGGTTTATTGGTACAGTGTAGAAATTTACTCAATAGCAAAAAGGAGAAAATAAAAAATTAGATGCTCAATAAGCAGGAGTTTAGGACCAAACCAAGCCTGGATACTAAAAAGATCTGAGTCTTCTTCTATAGATCCCTGATGACATGTTAAGGTTGAAAAAGCTCAGTTGGGGGGGAAAAAAAGGTTTGTAAAGATAAATTGTTAGAAATGATGAGTGTAAAAATACAGTATGGCTGAAATGCCGCTCCTTAAAAAATAAAATGGAGCATGAAGGCTCAAATACTTTATAGGAACTGAAAAGCGTAGGCGAGCAGAAATGAACATCTGCAAAGATCAGGATTGAGGAGTTTACTATTGTTAATTCCCTTCCAGTGAATCCTCAGCATATTTAGCAAAGATGATAAAATAAAATAAAATGAAGTGCTCCTTAAATCTGTGGGGTAGGACTATGAGAAAATTTATTTTAGCCCCGAATTATCTCACTGGAGTGTTGGTGTAAAAGTGGTCATCCAGTGTAACACATGCAACAGCCACCAGACATTATTCAGTTCAATCGGATACAAAATGCAACAATTTCCTCATGAAATCTGGATCCAGAACATTTCTCTACATATTACAGTAGTGTTACGGTACCTAAATGAACTATTTCTGGTGGTACTTTTTAAAACAAATGCTTAATTTATTACATATAATATACAAACATATCAATAGTGTTTATTTTCTGTCAGTCAAATCTTAGCTTTATTAGCAGAATGCATTTCGTTTATAATGTTAGTATGTCAGTCATGTATTGAAAGGCTTTATTTGAATAAATATTATAAAATATTCTTTATATATTTATATTTTGTTTTTCAATTAAAATTGTCGGTGGAAAAAGTATTTTGGTTCTTGAGCTTGAATGGATGAAACTGGGTGAAATCAAGTCTTCAGCGGTAATTTAAAACAAACCATTTATAAAGCTTCTCAGGTGCCAACCTACAATAATTTATTTACACATGCTTGGATTTATGGAGAGCCAAAGTGGCCAAATATTATTAAAATAAATATTGATTTCTATTACATATAGCATTTGTCAAAATTAAATTATTCTACACTCATCATAGATCTAAAACTTTTGTAAAACTCCAAAATGGGAAAGTTATTTCCTGGGGTTGTTTCACTGTTTTGTTCATTATAGCAGCAAAAATGAAAACTTATATATTAGACAAATATATATATATATATGAATATGCAAGACTATAAATGTTTGTTTTGATTATTTTTTTTACTTTCAACATAATTAAATGCATTAATTTTAGGCCCAACTAATTAAAAATAATCAACAAATAATAAAAAGGTCAGTGCTGCGAGCCCCAGAGTGTCAAAATTCAGAATGTGAAAGCAATAACTGCAAGAATACATCTAAAATAGTTGGAATGTTGAAACTCTTTGACAGCTCAAGTTCAGAGGAAAAGTAGAAAGAATTTACGGCTGTGAAACTTTGAGTCAAAGAGGAAGAAGCGTCTGTAAAGGGTTCATCTCTGTATACGGTGCAGCTCCCAGGTTACCTCTGATGTTGAGCTGTTCTGCAGAAGTTCACGTCCCCCATCTAAGATCAAAATAAAGGTTTTGTCCATCATCAAAGCTGAATCCGAATGATATAGATGGAAGTTATCGACCTGTTTGGACAACAGTTGTGATGGCTGCATTTTTTCCTCATCAAACCTGTATGCCTCTCTTAGCTGCTTATTTTTGAATAAACCTCTGCAAGATGCTATTGTTGTATTTTCCATCTATTTTTTGAGTCCACTAAGCCTCATCCGGAAGCACTGTATACATGCTCAACTCTGAAGCCAATGTGGAAAGATCTCAAGGCATCCAAATTGCTGTCGTATCCTGAATCGACCTCTGATGGCCAACATCAGTAGCGCTTTCCTTCGTGTCCACATGTCTCTAAGCGAGAAGAACGGCTTAAAACGAACCAGATCTCCAGGAGAAAATGGCTGGTCATGTGAGCATGTTGGACCTTAACACGTTTTTAACAGAAACTGATGGGACTGCGGATGGATTGACAAAACTCTCTTAGTTTGGAAACCGGTTAGTTGGATTTAGTTCTCATTTTTAGATTAAGTTTATTTTAGCCATATTTCTTAAACTTAAATTCTTTCAGTAAGGATTTTACATTAATTAAAAAGACCTAATTGTACATGATCACCTCTTATTTTATAGTCACTGTTATAAAGTTCTTGAAAGGCAAAGGAGTTCATCTTTAACTTTAATGTACTTAAATGACAAAAAATGTACTTTGAAAAAAATCTGAAGTGTTATTATTACTTTATGACAAATTTCATAGTTTATTTTAGTGCTAGCAAGTCTGCTTAAGATGATGCATCTAAATTGGAGCAGTTATGACTCCACCCAACTTTACTCTCCTGACGGATGTGCTGCACTAGAAAGGATAAAATTGTATTATGGTTATGCTCGACATATTTCTGAACGCATTTTGCAGTTTATTTACTGAAGTATGGAATTAGATTATAAATCCTTATTTTGTTTTATTTCAAACTAGTTCTAAAATGCTTAAATCAAGGTGCATCTCAATCTAAGTGATGCTCAAAGCCGGTTGACAAAAGCATTTAAAAATTCTGTCTGTAGCTGGAAGTAATGCAGCGTTGTTTTTTGGATGGTTGTAAACAGCAGCTGCAGCGGCAGACATTTATTTGACAGGCCGCCCACACATCCACAGCGCGCTCTGCAGTAGATCTCATATTCTGTATTAAGATTTGAATCTTTGCTTTTGTTACCAAACAGTTATTTGCCTTCGGAGCAGAAATATAAAACGCCCTCTTCCAGCTTGTCAACACGTCCTGCATTTGTCTGGTGGCTCAGCTTTATGACTGAGAAAACCCCAGCTGTCTGCAGCTACTGAGAAGGAAAAAAAGGACAATTTGAGCGGACAGGTTCTTTTTAAAATGTTAAAACCTTTTGGGGTTTACAAACTCTCAGACTTTGACAGGCTTTTATGCCTTGAGGATCTGTTTTACCTGCATCTATATGACTAAACCTCGGCCACCTAGCGCAAACAACCTCTGCTTTGTTTACATGGGCCTTGGAGGAGACGCGCCACCCCTGCTGTGTCAGGACGCTCCAGGTGCTGTTGTGAATAAACTGGTCCTAAATGAGCATAATGTTTTCCAAGATTTCTGCATCTCATTGCGATAACTTTGCTTGGAAAGATCTTGGTCTTGGTCTCTTTTCTGTTTTTTTTTCTGTTTAAGCATTTATTTATTGCAATGCAGCTTTTTCCTAAACCTTTTTTTCCATTTTCATGTAAGAAGGTTAAAATACTCAAAATAGTCTAATTAGGAGCATGAATCTAACCTATGATTGTAGAGGGATAATTTGTGCTGCTGTAGAGGTTAATACCACTGATCATGGCCTTCTGAGCTGAGCTATAAATGTGCTTCTTATCAGCAGGGGTCAAATGGGCCAAAACTAAACTGCTTTGCATCGAAACATCAAGAAGCTAAAGCTGCACTCTTCTTTTTCTCTTTGCACAAACAATGGACCCGGTCGTTACATTTGATAGGAAAGGGTCACCCGTTGTGACAGATGGTTATCGCCCAACACAGCTGCTCCCTCCAGCTGTACAGAGGCTTTGGAGTCATTTCAACTCTTTCCTAATTCGCTAACTTATGCTGATTGACCTTATTTTTTTGCAGTAACAGCCAATAAAATGTAAACAACAGCTTGCAGGCTTCACAGATGTAACTGAAGTAGCCAGTAAGTGTTAGTTAAAGAAGTTGGCAAGCTAAGAGGCACGAGGGAAAGCAAATATTAAACTTGACGATGAGCGTACTTTAAGAAACTGTTGCTTTTGGGGAGAAGAAAGTTACCCTCGCATATTAGAAAGATGACATTCCTTCTGTCTGAAGAAAAGGGCTCAAATGATTCACAAAAGCATGTATGTGAAGATATTTTTATTCGTCAATTAGTGTTACTAAAATTTGTTTGACGTATATATGGATTCTATGTATTGAATTTTTATTGCTTCCTGAAATGCCAAATTTAAATAAATTAGGACCGCGATAAGTAATTTATGGCTTAATATGTGAGCTTCTGAGGGGTTAAATTATAGCTTTTAATATAATTTTCACCATTTGTCCTTCATTTGACCTCCTGGATGATCCCTTTTTGTGGTTTTTTGTTTTGTTTTGTTTTTTTTTTTTACTTTCCTATACGGAATGAATAAGAAAATGAAATAAATCAGGAGTTACTCTTTATTAATTTTTTTTTTTTTTCGGAAGTACAGAAGAGTCATAAAACTACAAATTGAAACCTTAAGTTAAACTTCATCTTGTTGTGTTTAAACTAACAAGAAATTGCTTTAACACTAATTTAACCTCTCATCCAGAAGTTTAATCATCAGCAACGTTCATCAGGGATGCGACCCTTCTAGTGTATTTTTTATGTTCATTTTGGCTCCTTTTTTTTTTTATATTATGTTTTAGGAGGTTGTGTTTTTTTTTTTGTACAGAATAACTTGAAAAGTTATGGACAGTTTTCATATATATCAGATGGTTCCCTCATGCCAAGGAACAATTGATTAAATGCAGGACAAGCAGTTCCACTCTATACCAGAGGGTGGCACCAGTGACTATTGACAGCTTCAGCATTGGACTCAAAAAGTCTCGAGGTATTTTACTGAAGACAAAAACGCAAAAAAAATGGAACATTGTTGATTTAATCCAGATCACGTGCAAGTTTCAGCTATTGATGCAAGTCACAATATGAGGCAAAATTTGCTGCTTGCACTCTGAGTGTTTTTGTAGTGTGTGTAAGTATGTGTATATATATATATATATATATATATATATATATATATATATATATATATATATATATATATATCCCTTCAAGAGTTTTTAAAGTGCTTAATAAATACATTGGATGGAATCGGTACCATCATACAGCTGTATGTGTGGATAACAACTCTAACTTAAAACTAACGATGATTGCTAGAAATTATAAACCAGAAACTCAACTAAGATTAGTTCTTTAAGATATTGAGCTGCTTTCTAAGAAATTCCTCCCTGTGCATGACTGTCATACACTGAAAAAAATATTGTTTCCTTTAAACTTATTTTATTGGATTCTAAACAAACTAAAATAAAAAGAGCAATTTTTTTCATAACTGTCATTTCTTGAACGCACAGCTCTCCTAACATTCGGCGCTGCTTCCTGTTCTAACTAATTCAGTCTCACCCGAATCTAGATTTCCAAGCTGACAAGAATGGAAGCGAGCATGTATGCAAATCAAGTCTGCACATCATCTGCAATTTGTTCACCTCCAAACAAGGGGAGCGAGGCAGCCCTCCTCCTGCTTCGGCTGAGACTCCTCTTTTGTGCTCCAAGTCAGGCAATTAATTTGAAATTGTACGAAGGACAAAGAAGCAACAATGGATAACAAACTGTAGAAAAAAGCTGGTGTTTATTGTCTTATTTTCACAAATGATATCTACCAAAAAAAAAAATCTCTTATACCGATATATGAAGAAAAATAAGGTTAAACTAGGTTAAAGATTTGCAAAGGCAAAAAATAGCTATCCTAGATTCCCCTGGACATCTGGTGTATTGACTCATCAAGTGATCATAGCTAAGTGCCTCGGTTTTCAGAAGCAGACATGCCTTTGAACCGTGACCTAACTGGGGAAGAAAAGAAGCATGTTCAGTTCTTATGATGAACCACTCCTGTCATTTTGAGGGATTTTACCCGTCAACCATGCAATTGAGTGTGATCCTGTACCATATGGTTTCAAGCCAGTGCCTCATATTCTCCAGGGCAAAAAAAAAAAAAAAGGGCATTAATGAGTCCTGTGCACTCACAACGGTCTTCACGGTCTGCTAAACGAAGGATCCAAAGCAATGAACGCCTTCGTCTAATCCAGTCTTCTTTCTGTCCTTCTGTCCAGGATGACCATCAATGCAGAATGCCAGCTGCAGCTTCATAATTTCCCCATGGATGCGCATTCCTGTCCTCTGGAGTTCTCCAGCTGTGAGTCCTGGCACCAAAAAAGATGCACATGCATCCAAACACATAATGCAAAGACTCAGATACCCGTACATAGAACTTTATCACCACATGCATCAGGATACAGGATGAAGAAAAGGACAAAGTCAGCATAGGCCTGTCCCATGGGCTGTACTTTGTTTTATGTGAAGATGCAGACCTTTCAGGTGCCGTTGGGAGAACTGTACACAGGGAAGCCTCAGTTATAAAGGGAATCGCTGATTTGTGGATCGGAGATCAGCTTTCTATATTTTATATGACTGTCATGTTGCTCTGTCACAGTGAGGCTGCACTCATGTTCACCAGCAGAACTTTTTCTAGTGTGAAAGATTTTTATTTTTAATTGCCTGAGCTGAAAGCTGGCTAAGAACCTAAATGCATAATGGTTCCTTGATCATCTTAATGTTTTTGGCCAGGTTTACTGCCCAGATTGAAGTTTATTTTTCTGTCTCCCTCCTGCTTAATCAGCTGTTGGCGCACAAGTCAGAGTTATCGCTCAAATCATGAAAGCATTAGTTTCTATTCTTCAGTGTACCTCAAGACAATCCTCTCACTCCCATAATGATCTCGGACGACGCTCTTATTTTCTCCTTCTGAATTTCCCACTTTAAAGCTTTTAAATCATGATCGCCGATTAGGGCGTCGCACACTGGAGCATATGAACATTTTAAAAATAAATAAAATGAAATAATCTGCCAACAGTAAAGAAAAAAAGCATATTTGGACTATTAATCTGTACCAATACCCTACAGCTGGATCATTAAAAGGCTCATTGCTTATATGAAATGAATTCATTACAGACTGACAGCAAAAGAATCAAAAAAAATATTTAATTCCAGAAAAAATCCTCTTTGATATAACAAATAATAAAAAATCACATATTTGAGTTGGATCATAAAAACTGCTTATATTGCAGATTAATTGCTTCCACCCACTATGTCCAAATTCCTTAAAGTAATCAGCCAGGAATTTTATTAATTCTGGACTTTGGTGTATTTGTAACTGTCTGGCTTCTTAGCAGGGTACATGTGCATTAAACGGCTGCATTGTGGGGGTTTGAGTCGCTAAAGGATCTGGAATCAAAACTAAATGGCCAGAGTTGGAGCCGAACATAAGGATCTTTTTTTAAGCTGGAAAAATAAACTCTAACCTGTAGATTTGAAGTGCATAAAGTTGCTGCCATTAGGAAATAAATAAAATTAAAATCTTTAATAGTCTTTTCTCCAATTAAAATTATGTTTAAATATGTTTTTTTTATTTGTTGGACAATAGTTTAGTGGTGTGATTTTAAAATCAATCAGGGAATCTCGCCTTTTTTTTTTTTTTCAAGGTTTAAAGAAAAACAGCTTCTCTGCAAACAATATATATTAATTATATGTTACTTCCAAGTTCTCCTTTTGAATGGTGCACTGTTTCTAGAAATGTGCATTACAGCAAAAATGACAACTGCAACATGAATCCAGGCCATCCAGTTTATTTTTATGGCACCATTACATTAAATTGGCAGCTTTCAGGAAAACTAGAGAACCTGGATTAATAGGTGATTCAAAAGATGAACAGCGTTACATAAAAACGTGCAATAGAATAAAATCAACTGATTAAATTGTAGCACTTCAGCTAATATAACGCTCATGGTGGAGAGAATAAATGAAATTTAGTTTTAATGGCAAAACTGTGATGTTTTCAGGCCTCATTTATCTCAGGTTTTTTTAGTTTGGGAGCATAAAACTAAAAACTTCATCTCTTGGTGTTTAATCGACAGATTTTAAACGGTAATATTTTATAGATAGGAGCCGTTTACTGATTTTTAAAAAAAAATGTTAGTCAGAACTTTTTCAGTGCAGAGATTCATCACAATACTCAAACCTACTGACATTAAAGCCACAATGATTCTGTTAGTATCTTGTTTTAAAAGGGAGGTTTAATATAAATGGCATGGTTGTTTTATTTGTTGTTCTACCCTTTAGTATCTCAAAAGTTTCTTTTCACATGTTACCCAGTTAAAAAGTAAAGGAAAAGATTTCAAAGGATGACTGCACTGAGTCATCAAGGTTAAAGGTCAGGTTAGATGAAGCACTATGCCGTCATTGTTGTCTGTCTTCCTTTTTTCAGGTAAAGGTGTTACCCTTATGGGAGTGGGCGCCTTTAGATGTTTTTTTTTTAAGTTGTTTCAGAGATGTTGTTGCATCAATAATAGTTTTGTTTTTTTCTACAGAGATTTTTTTTGTGCAGCATTTGCACAAGACTTGATAATTCTGTGAAGACTTTCTTTTCATAATTCTTATAGAATATACATTTATTGAATAGTATTATGCATCAGTTAAAGTGGTGCGATTCTGGTGATTGCACTTTAAAAAAAAAAAAGCCTGTTAATGAGCCATCAATGATTTTTTTTTTTTTTATCATTACACTGTCACAAGTAAAGAGCAACGAAATTAACTCTCTGCACTTAACCCATCCCCTTTTATTTAAATTAGGCTAGCTCTAAAGAATCAAAGTCTGTAAAAACTAGTAACAGTGTAAAGCTTATTCTTCGCACAATCCTTCTACTGCTATTTCACTCGACTCTTCTTTATTTAATTTTTGCTTTTGTTTTATTTATTTTTTTTTTTTACATTAAATGTCTTTAATTTAGAATGCTTGCATTTGTTATTTTCAAAAAACCAGCATGAAAGCTTAGCCATGGTCTGCAAATGAGCCTTTGACTAGAACGGCGATGAACAGAACAGTTTCCTATTTTTAAATAACAAGTCCCTGATCAAATTAAACTTTAATGAAACAAAAACAAAATAAATATTCATTATGTTGCAATTTTATTCCAGACCAAATTATCGACTGACTGCAGCTACAGATCAAATGTCAGCGTTTGTTGTTGCTCAATATTGATGCCTTCCCTCACCAGTTCATTTAGTTTTCAAACTTATATTAAATTTGTCCACATTATGGTGCAGGCAGATATTACAGAACTGCCATTTGGGGAAAAGCTACTGACTGTAATTTTCCTTACAGCAGGTCTCACTGGAAGTGTTGACATACAGAATATAAGTCAAATATCAAAGGATAAACCATCATTTACCAAAAACAGTGAATCCATAAATGCTTCTTATATAGCAAAGCTGAATTAAATGTATTAAAGCAAAGCATATAGAATAGAAGAAACAGAGTAATTCTGCTCTGTCTGACTTTAATGTAGCCTCTTGTCTTTTAATCACCATGGGTTTAACGTCTTGCAATGAAGCCGTCTTCTTCAGGGCAACAAACATCTGTTCATGTCCCTGTTTGAAATGCCCACTGCATTTTTACTTTCCAAGTGTATGCATAAAAGTTTAAAAGACAGAAAAACAGATGGACAAGTCTGCAGAGATGAGTCAATTCTTCTGGAAAAGCAAAGCCGCTCTCCATACTCGCCCTCTGCTGCCTCTGAGAAAGCCGGGTTTTTTTTTTTTCTTCTTCACTGCAGAGCATTAAAACTGAGCAACAAGTGTTGCCTTCATGTTGTCTCAGTTTTCTTTGCAACTCTGTGCTGTTGCCCTAAAAATGGCATGCATGCCGTCCACAGCAGATGGTTTAGAGGATGGAGGTCTGCTGTGTAGGAAGGGTAGATGGGGAAAGCAGTTGGGCACACTGGGATGATGTCTGATGATGGGGAAAGATGAGCCCTCACCTTTGCACATGAAGGGCTTTTCAAACTTATTAATGCCTCTAACTCTTTCACCTTTGTCATACTACATTCAGACTGATCCAGTGCTCTCTACAACCACCTGTAGCTTTCACTACTACTGGAGGTTTTTTGGTTTATATCTCGACCAGCGTTGTACATTCAGAGACTAAAATGTTTTTATGTAAAATTGTTCAATATAGGGCGAAACAATATGATTAATCAGTTATTGAAATTCATCAACTAATTTAGTACTCTAATAATCCTTAAATGCGTATAGAGACATGCCTTTAGCTGACAGAGTAACCCACTTAAGTAATTATACCAAAATTGTAAAAAAAAAAAAAAAAAAAATATATATATATATATATATATATATATATATATATATATATATATATATATATATATTGCATTTAAAATAAAAAATACTTTCATCTGTCAACATCAGAACTCCTCAAATGGGAAATCACCTGATTTAATCCTGTAAAGATTCTTCTTTAAGGGATAGTTTATTGTCAAATTATTAATTGAAAAAATAATCGAAAGATTAATAGATTAATAAAATCATTATTTGCAGCCCTAGTTCTATATCATTCATGTTAGATGGAGAGCAAATATGAACATTACCTTTTAGTTTATTTAACAGATTGAAGTGTTATCTTACTGTAGGCCTTATTTTTGTCTAGGCTTTAAACGCATAAATACAGTATACTTTTTAAACCATTGTTGCTCTCGCTAAACATTTAGGGTTCTTGTTGGAAGAGAAGCCCCAATTAAGGCTTTTTGCAGCCTCTGATTCTACGTTCAGACTGCATGCGACTGAAGCAGCTGGTTTACATGCAGTCAATGGTTAAAGTGCCTCAAAGTGCCTCAAAAGGTCCTGCAGCGCATCTAGAGAAGCAGGAGCAGCGCATATTGACGTATCTGAGCAGGTGAAGCTGCGCCTCATGAGCTTATGAGCATCTGAGGGATGTCATGCGCTTGAAAATGCCTAAATTAACTTAGACTGTCAAAACCTGCAAAAAATATGTCTACTGTTATTATTCTGGTGCTTGCAGTTTGTACACTAACATCTACTTCCAGCTGCCCCGAACAGCAAAATATTTTAAAGTATTTTAAAGTAGGATCGTAAACTTGATGAGCTGACTGCACAGACAATGTTTTGGGGTGTACTTTCTCACTTAAAAATATATTAAAACTACTTTTTACCAGCTTATCACAGCAAATACAAAAAGCTGCTCTGTGCCATTGAACACAAAAGCAGCAGAACATCAGACTCATCTGTACACACTTTACTGGACGTGCTTTAGGAGCATCAGAGATG